CCCATGCTGTTGGGGTCATGAATGAATAGCCTTATTCTTTGCCACTGTGTCCTCTCTGTTCATGTACCCATGGTGCCAGCACTGATTTGGCCAACTACAGAAGCTAGGTGACATCCTAGCAGCAGAGTCATCCTATCCACTTCATTTCTGAGCATTTCTTCAGTAGATACACTCTGGTGGGTATTGATGTGGAATAGAGATCTTTGTGCTGAGTCCCATAAGTCCTTCTACGTGCCTCTTCCCCAGATACTAATTTTTTTCAAAACTGAAGTGTAGTCAGTTTATAATGTTGTGCCAATTTCAGGTGTACAGCATAATGTTTCAGTCATAAATATACATACATATATGCATTTTCATGTTCTTTTTCATTATAGATTACTATAAGGTATTGAATATAGTTCCCTGTGCTATACAGTAGAAACTTGTTGTTTATCTATTTTATATATAGTAGTTAGTATTGGCAAATCTCGAGCTCCCAATTTATCCCTTCTCACCCCCTTTCCTCTTTGGTAACCATAAATTTGTTTTCTATATTTGAGTTTCTGAGTCTGACTCTGTTTTGTAACTAAGTTCATTTGTGTCTTTTTTTTTTTTTTAGATTTCACATATAAATGATATCATATGGTATTTGTCCTTCTCTTTCTGGCTTACTTCACTTAGAATGACAATCTCCAGGTCCATCCATGTTGCTGCAAATGGCATTATTTTATTCTTTTTTATGGCTAAGTAATATTCCATTGTGTTCATATACTGCAGCTTCTTTATCCAGTCATTCTCCAGATATTCTCATCCATGATTTACCAGTATTGCTACTTTCAGGTCTCTGATCAACCAGCTAAGCAATTTGCCTCACAGAAACTGTGTGTATTCTTCCCTTGGACACTTCTCTTTCCATGCAAAATGGATGGCCAGATGCACTGCCCAGATCTCTCCCTGTTGGAGGGGTTTCCTCTCACTACTCTCTTTTAGAGTCAACTTGAGTGGCACTGTAGACCACCAACTGACCTTTATCAGCTTGTACCAACATACTGAGCTGACCCATCTGTGAACTAAGTTTAGTTTCTGTTCTTCGCCAGCTGGTCATGGGGAAAGCCACCTCCACTCAAGCCCTAATTTGGTCACAGATGTGAGCTGAGGGTGAGGCCTTGGTACCGCAGTGGTGAATGACATGGAAATCTGTACCACATATTTGTGCAACTTTCTTGTGCCCTCTGAACCTGATAGCTACATCACTTCCATTTTATACGTATTTTCAGAGTTGGTTCTCTGGAAGTGGACTCTAGGAAAAATTTGAGGTACAAGATGTTTTTAAAGAATCAATAGTTGTGAAAGGAAGTAGAAGGAGGCAAGACTGGGCATAGGAAGAAGTCAGATTTCATCCAGGTCCACCTAGGCATTGGACGACCTGATTGGGAGCTCTGCAGCAACTGGACTGCAGGACTGTTGGAGTGTCCTGCAATAGGCTGGAAGAGCCAGGCCTTGGCTTCCTTGTCTCTCTCAGTCACTTGATGTGGGCACTGGGAAAGGTATAACCTGGGGTTAAGTGTCTCTCTGCTGCTGAGGCAGACCCTTAAGGAGCTGAGTGCTGGAAGTTGTCTGTACTTCTACTGTTGGTTGGCAAGTCTTCCTCTGAGCTCCGTATCTGTCTCAGCCAGCCTAACCTTATGACTCAATGGGATAGGTCTGATCGTATCCAGATCGTCATCTGCAGTTGCAACTGTGTGTCCC